CAGGTTAAGAGTCAGGGAAATAAATGGAATTGAAAACGATCCACTTATATATGGGCCCTTTAGTAAGATTCTAGAAATAATTCTCTCACTACGAATCACAAAACAGCAAATCGCATCTACTAAGGAAATGTAATATCAGGGTGATAACAAATAAGAAAACACTTTTCGCCAGTCTGTCGACGCAACACGAGAAGACTGGCAAATTTGATTGCTCGGGAGTTTATCACATAAAATGCGGCAACTGTTAGCAAGAGTTTGTCAGTAAAACGGGAGGAAAAATCGGCCTACGAATTAAGGATCATCAAAGACTGCCGAAACATGGATACGAAAAGATCCGAAATAGCGGAACACATTTCACGAACGGTGCACGAAATTGACCGAAAGCTTCGCTGTATGTTGTGAAAATACTATAAAACGCAAGATCCGAGAGGCCATCGAAATACTGACCGATAAAAATATAATGAACAGGAGACTTGAAAAAGGCAGGATCAGCGAAAACTTTGCATATTGCCTATAAAAACTTGAAGAAGACTATGCAACAGCAAGATCAGCAAAAAGAAGACGACTGGATCAAGATAATATCCTTAATTTTAGCAAAGGATATCGCTGGGGGATGAGAAAGCAGCAATCAGAAGCAAAGATGAGACGTCTTCAGTGAGCCTAATCAAAACAAGTAGAATCACGAAATTTGTGGGTTGGCACAATAGACTAGGACGTAGGAAGCGATGGACATGGTATTACAGATAGAAACAGGAAAGACGCAGCGGAGACTAAAGCTATTTGGCTAAAAATAGACGTATTTTATCATAAACGTGATCGTTGAGTCACGACTATTGTTAGCCAATTAGCTATAGCTTCCACTATTTTATCCTTTTTCTATCTATAATACCAAGTCTATGACTTCCTATGCAATATGGCAGACTCTGATCAACATTCCCAGCACAAGGATGAAGGGGGTGAGTACGACAGCGTTTTCATTATTTCCGCTCAAAGGAGCACACCACACTACATATAAATAGGCATGGTAAAAAAATGTTGACAGTGAAGGCGAGATAGGAGGACATAGGAAATGTGAATAGCCCAGGGCAGAAGGGGAGAGACCACAACTTTTCAGCATACGTTTGCTCAAAGGATATGCTTACTTGTCTCTGACGAGTTGTTGTATGGTGCTACGAATGGCGATACTCACTGACGATGCCGGCGAAATGTCTGGGAATGTATCACGTCCACGGTCAGACTTTGGAAATGACTATGCATACAATGGACTCCAGACTAGGTGCGTTCCTCTAAGTCTTTCTATCAATATGACCAAGTTGCAAAAACAAGGTTAAACAAATTCTATACTATTATCTAGTTGTGGAACAAGCTTAAGTGTCTCAGCATGAGGTAGCTCATTAAAATAGTAAATTGTGCTCATATTACGAGCAATTGATGTTCGTACGAACTTCCGAACGTTAGGTCCTTGTTACGAATGTATATATATGTACTCGCGTTCATAACTTTGCTCGGTTCAGTTCCCGAAATAGCATAATTTTTTGTTTTCTATTGGCGTGTGTTCAGCGAAGTTGGTTACTAAGACTTTTATGATAAGTATATTCATGTACCATATTACCAACTACCACGTTATAAACTTTTGACGAATTTCATTAAGGCAAAATATAAAGCCAAAAATTGAACAAAATGACGGAGATCGTTAAATATCAAGCCGGAATTTAATCAAAAGTTAACTGGAACGTTTAATTCATGGTTAAAAAATGTAAGCGGAACAGTTGCATCCAAATTACAAGATAATAAAAATAGTTAAATACGTAGCTTAGTCACAAGGCCCTCGTATACACTTGTAAGACGTATGTGTAAAAAAAATTGGCAGAACAACTCTTTTCCCTTAACTTGAAGACAGGGTAATCAGGATAAAAGATGAAAAGAATAAGGCCTCCTGGATGATGGCAATGACCACTGATTGACGTGCATAACAGTATATGCCTCCAGTAGATTAATCAGGGGATTACAAAGGAGTTGACACACCCAAGTTCCGATATTGTAGTGAACGATGACTCATCCTAATTTTTGAATAAACTAATTTTGGAAACAATTGATTGTCGACTAGACGAATGAAATAGGGAATTGGCTGAAGGCTTTTATACAATGGGCCAAGCCACATCCTATAAAGGTACCAAATAGTTAATTCTAAATAAAAAAAGTAAGCCGATTTAGGTATACAGAAGACGGCACTGCTCCAAAGCTACTGATTTGTCCAATGCCGAACCAGGAAAAACTAAAGTTTCATTGAATATATGATGACCAAGATGGTTTGGCCTTTTGTTTCATTGTTAATGACTCAACAGAGGAGCTTTGTATATCAGGCTGGGGAAATGCGTTCAAATTAGGATTCTCTTTTCAACATGAGACTTTTAAAGGGGGATTCGCGCGGAGACAGTAGACAGATGCACGAAAGAATGCCGGAAAATTAAACAGAAATGGAAAGATTCAGGCTGCAAATTTAACTGGATAAGCTGATTTATGTACTAAGAAAGTCAAAATCGATGCGAGTTCTCCATTAGCAGACAGGACAACGGAGAGTCAAGCAAAGTTAAGCTTGGAAACTAGGCTAAGACTAATTAGATCTGTCAGAAGGCGCCGGTGAACTTCCGGTCAGGTAGACGCGACGCATTAAGGTGCTGACTAGACTAGGCATCTGTTTCATACCATCGGAACCTGGTTGTCCAGTTTTTGACTCGTAGATCAAAGCGACTTTGCGAGCCACCACGGTTAGTAGGCAGAGCACATCGGTCGGCACTGGCTGTCTAGAGTCAGTGTCCAATACATTACAGAGCTCCTGAATGAACCAGCTGCCAACTGATGCATTGCGCCAGGCATAATAACCTTAGGGAAAGGCCGAGGAAGGGATAAACAGAAAGGGTATGAAATAAAATTTTCTATTCAAGGCTAAGGTTTAGTAAGTTGGTATTAGAGTAGGGTTTCGAGACTACCAGTAAATCAGTTTAATGAGATCTATTCACCCTATTTCGTCTAAGGTATGTTGGTAAGTTGGCCTTGATTTCGCCTGTAGGTCTCAGTCTTCTAAAATATATTGAACTAAGAGAAAAGATGACTGGTTGCAACCCTAGTCGCTTTTTAAACATCTAACAGGACAGAAAGAGCCACAGCAAAAGAAATAGGCTTGATTAACCTCGAGTATCACACTCCCCATGATATGACCATTGCATATACGAAATAGACAACAGCACAAGCCCAAACATGAATCAACATAAGAGGATCGTACACTGGTTTATTTTTGTAAGGAAATAGTCTCCACAGAACGCACTTCCCGTTTATCAAGTCATCTCGCAATGTATCACTAAGGAAGCCTTCTAAACCCAGTTTTTCCTCGGGGTGCGTATGGTTTTCATTCTTTTCTGAATTCGTCACTATACAAAAAGCAAGAAAATGTTGGTCAGGCAAGTCATTCACATTCGCTTTTGGAAAGTTTACTCTGCCCGTATAATTATACCTACGTGGCACATTCCCAGACGCTTCGCCGGCATCATAGTCGAAATGGTCAGTGAGCCTTGTGAGCCTTAGCACCACACCACAGCTCGTCAAAAAGACAAGTTAAGCCGAACCTTTGACTAATTATCTGCCAAACAATAGTGATATCTCTCCTTCCGCCGTGGGCTAATCAACAATCCTATATCCTCATATAATTACTTCACTATCACAATTTTTACTTGCTTATTTAAATGTGGTATAGTGCCCGTTAGAGGGGCTTTCGTGAGAACTCTCCACATTCCACACTGGCTTTCTCACCTCTTCGTCCTCCTCGTCCTTGTGCAGAGAATGCTGATCATAGTATGTCCTATTGTTACGCAATCTTTCCATAGGTCTTATCAGCCTCCCTCTTGCCCCGTATGATCCGTCTACTATCTCCCTGGTTCAAGAATTTCACTCGACCCCTGCCACCCCATCTCTGCTACTCGAGGCGTTATTTCCCAGACTCTGCATCTAGGAGACTAACTTGAGGCTAAAGCCCCTGCGTAACTCTCATGGTCAAGCCTTTGCTTCATGGACAACGTCTATAAAAAATAGGTTTACTGTCAGCCAACTAGCTCAAGTCTCCACCGCATCTATCCTGTTTCTATCCCTGCTGTTTGCTTTGCTTGGGTTTAACGTAAAACCACAACATTTGTGGGTTGACACCCAAGAGACTAGGGCATAGAAAATCATAGACTTGGTATTAGGGATAGGAAGAGGATAGACGCAGCGGAGACTAGAGCTAGTTGGCTGACAGTAGGCCTGTCTTACCATAGACGTGGTCCAGGAAACAAAGGCTTGACCATGAGAATTACTAAGGCGCTTTAACCTCAAGTCATTCTCCAAGACGCAGATTGTTGGAAATAAAACCTCGAATAGCACAGATGAGGTGGCAGGGGTCGAGTGAAATACTTGAACCAGGGAGATAGCAGACGTATCCTGTGGGGTAATAGGGAGACTCTGATAAGACCTATGGAAGGGGGACGGTGTAACAATAGGACATACTCTGATGAACATTCCCAGCACAAGGGTGAGTGGGATGAGGGGATGAAAAAGCCAATGTGAAATGTGGAGAGGACTTCGGACAAGGTGTGTTCAACTAAGTTGCCCTGACAACAAGACCAAGTTGCGAAAACGAGGTCAACCTGCTTCTAAGATGAGGGGAGTTTGCGACCTGCGAAGGGGGGGATAGGCAGTTGGACCATTTTATTCGTTTCCTGATTTTGCCTTTTTGCTCGCTTGCGAAGAGGTTGGATGATCTACTTAGGAAGTAAAACATAAAAACAATGTATAAAGAGAAGTTAACCTTTTCTTAAGTAGTTCCGTCGTCTAGAGAATTTCAGACCCTCTCTCTAGATCAGGCTGTTACAAATTTCTGTGCTCATGTGTTAAGGTTTATGTGCGGAAGACCTGCCGACCAATCTAAAAGAGACTGCTAACACAAAACCGCTTGTACAGGTCTATAGGTCCAAAAATCTGAGTTCGCTAAAGACATGGCTAACACATGACACTTAATATATTGGTCCAAGACAAAATGTTCTGCTGGTTACAGGGACTTCACACCAAACCTAAGACAAATGAGCATTTAGATATTAAAACAGCTATACGTCCTGAATAGGAGGAACGAATATATAAAACAAAGTAGGAACTATTTATGGCTGTCGGATAGGCTTAAGGAGAGGGAGTGCATGAAGAGCCACTGGAGGCTCGATTAGCCTCAAGTCTAGCTATGACTATCACACTTCCCTTGACATGAACATTACATACACAGAATAGACTATAGCACAAGCTCAAACGTGATTAACAATAGACGATCGTACGCTAGTTTATCTTTATAAGGAAACAGATTCCACCGAACGCACCCCCGGTTTGTGAAATAACTTACTCATCTACGAGCATATAGAGTAAGGTTGAAGTAGCCGACCAAATCACAGGACGCCTCATTAAGAACGCGAAGTTAGGTGTATAAAAAAACGACTAAGGTTGCAGCCAGTCACCTTTTATCTTGGCTTAGTATATTTTTGCTCTATTTCGTAAGGTATGGATTCCCGCTCTGATGATGACTGTCATAGTACAGACAAAAGTTTAGCATAGGTTCATCGGGGTCGCAGGAGAGTGAGCCGAAGTTTTCTTCGCACAATACAAAAGTCTTGCCTACACGACAATCATTCTTAGGTTTGCGGGAAGATCACATCACGAATTCCTTCCAACCAATTTTTCCTTTGAACTGGAAGGTCATGTAACAATATATAACTATAAGAAATTCTTAGAAACCCAGTTTTTCTTCATTTCAATTGATAATTCATTTTCACAGCGGTATCAATCAAGGCATGACCAGGATGAACTAGCTAGGACAAACTGATTTCGGTTCTAAATTATGGAGAACATTAATGCTTATCATCGGTCTTTGACAGGCAAAAAATTTCAATGAAATAGAAAAAAAAGAATGTTTCTTTTCACCTGGAACAGTAGAATTCGCCACTAGAATGTCAGCTTCAACGGGAATTTTGTGAACCAACACATCTCCAGCGTCGTCAGCTTGCATACTGGTGCCGGTATCAAAAGCAGTCCCCCTGCAAGCCTGGATCAAGAGGCAAATAAAGTTAGGAAAAAAATTATTGGTATCTATCTCTGCTTATAAGCCTTCGTTTAGTGATATCGGTCGGTTGAAAGGCAATAGTAATAGAGGCATTTGAGATTGAGGTATACCGCTTACCGAATAGTGCTTCTAGAAATAGTGATTGATTCCCGAACGATGAATAAATTAAATATGAATTGCTCATCAAGTAAAAAATGAGGCAAGCACTATCCATCTGTTAAGCACGACGAATGCTTTACTCTAGCGTTTAGAAGAGTCAGGATGACAAATACTAGTATTTTCAAAAAAATAATTATTATCTTAGCCCACTGGGTAATGAAAGATCTGGTAGTTAAACAGTTCACAATTAAATAAGGAAAGTGGCTCTACAAAGGAGGCTCCTGGTTGGGTTAAAAATTGTGGAAAGTACAAATATAAGGAATATAGTAAGCTGGTGAAAAGCTCTA